AGAACGTGTCGGGTGTTGGAGGGAAGCGGGTATCGTGGCGTGCGTTGACTATCACGCGACAGCGCAGACCTGTGCAAGTACAGCGAACCTAGTATTAGCCAAATCGGGTATGATTTGAGATCACAGTGGCCAGGAGGGGTTGCTCACCTGGAAGTCGGGGAGAACATGGCGTATCTCAAGAACGAAACGGACTTCGCCATGTGCGCTGCTTACCATACGGTAGTGCCAGTCTGTGCGAGTACGGGGAACCCAGTTTTAACCTAAACGGGCATGAATCGAACCCTTGGTGGCCAAAACAGGGTTGCTCACCTCGATGTCGGGGAGAACATGATTGACCCGCAAACGAAGCAGACTCCGCGATGTGCGCTGGGTATCATACGATAGAAGATACCTGTGCGAGTACAGGGAACAAATTTTCAGCCTAGACGGGTATGAATACAGACCACAGCGGCCAAAACGGGATTGTTCGCCTGAAAGTCGGGAGGAACAAGATGGAAGTCAGGAACAAAGTGGACTTCGTTATGTGTGCTGGCTCTTATAGGTTGGCACACACCTATGTAAGCCCTGAAGTAGCCTTGGTGGACGAGATACAGGCGCACAGAGTGATGTCGCTCACCTTGAGCGAGGGGCACTAGGTCCGACTGGGCGCACCGAACGAGTTATCGCGAGTGCAATTGTCACATGTAATCGTCAGCATCTCTTCTTCACCACCATGAGCTCAGGCTCGGGCCAGCTGGAGACCAACCCAACGTCTGGTATGCAGTGCACAGTCTACATCGACGAAGAGACCAAGCCTGGCACCTGTGTCTGTGGCCACACATTTAATTACCACACTGTGGCTGCTCGGTCCGATCCCTTCGCCATGCTTCCTGCCAATCGTGCTCCTCGCACCGCCAGCTCGACCAGTACAGCCCTTGATGACACTCTGGGAGGGCACGAGGATGAAGAAGAGGACCGTCTTGCTGAAGTTCGGCGCCGCTTCGAGAAAGCTCGTTCGCAAGGAACAGCTGATGCAGCAGGTCGGTCGAGTCTGGCCTACCACGCACCTGCTGCTGGGTCAGCTCGGTCTCAAGTCTCCCATGCCGATGCATTGGCAGAGGCACGTCAGGGACTTAGTGGAGGTGATAGAGGGAAGGGGAAGGGTAAAGGAAAGGGTTCTTCGGGCAGTGGGAAGTCGAAGGAGAAGAAGGAGAAGCCTGGGAAGACGAAAGGGAAGGCTGATGGCGGCAAGAGCAAGTCACAGGTGTGTATCAAACTTTATTATCTTACTCAAATATACTCATACTGGGATGCAGGGCTCATCGGGTCTGAAACCCCTCCGTGTTTGTGAGGTTTACTTTGTGCCTGTCGGTTTGAAGGTGGGCAGCTCATTATACAGCCGTATAATTACTATATACTCATTGTGTGCAATCAGCAGTATTCATGTGTGCCTCTTGCTTCTGGTGGGGTGACCTACAACGCAGAAATCGGCACCACCCTCCATGAGTGGGAAGACCTCATTGGCATTCGGCTTCCCGAGTCTGTCCTCAACGGCCGAAATGTTATTGATGGAGTCGTTCTTTGTCTTCGTCAGGAGGGTCTGGCTGCAGTTGCAAAGGATGACCCGGAGTTCCGCTCTGACGGCTACTTCACCTTTGGCCAGACCAGCCAGGCAGAGATTGACATGTTTGTGTGCTCGCTACTTCCAAAAGGGTTTTCCCTTCTTGACAGCGACCTTGCCAACAACCCGCCTGCTGGATACAAAAAGCGGGCGAAGCCTGAGGGCCCGCTTGACTGGGTTGTTCTCAAGGTAGCCTATAACAAGATACATGTTGTCGACCACCACTCCGTCATTGATGTTGAGTTTCTTCGGCGCTTTGCGACATCTCCATCTCATGCAGTAAGAGAGCGCTTGTTCATTGGTGGGTCCTGTACTTGAGACCTATTGGCCAGGGGATAATACTGATATTCTTTGTAGCTCCGAGGCGCCGTGTTGTTCTTGATTCAGGCTTACGCTTGGCAGGCTCGCCACTGTCCGATAATGACAGTGACAACGAGC